AGCTCTTCTACTCCCTTAAGAGTAAGGCCAACCAGTTGCATTACAAGACAAAAGAATGGAGAAGTTGTGTGATCCCTGAATTGCTTAGTGTTCACTCTCTCAAGGCACCTACCCAAGGGGGGTGAGCCACATTATTTACCTGGTTGCTATAACTCCTTCTTACCCAGTGAACACAATGCTAATACAGACACAACCTGCCTAACATTGTTCACTTGTTCCATGAAAACAGGACATTAAGTGAAACAATGTTACAAGGGCAGTTAGTTCCACTGGAACAAAGTTATAAATGGGAGACATTTTCTTAAGTGACTAAGATGTGGGCTACAGGAGCTTTTACAGAGATTGAAGAAAGACAATAACAGGGAGTGAAATGTCAGCCTGAGGTGAAGAGAGGAGGCAGAGCTGCCTGGAGCAGAAGGCTAGTCTGAACTGGCCTTGGGCAATGATGGAATGAACTTGTAGCAGGGTTTTGCCAAATTTCTGAACATTATTGCAAAATTGTAAGGGAGAGTCGAGCAGCATCGATGTCATACATAAGCAAAAGAGATCAAAGAAAGATTACCAAAAAAGAAAAGCAAATAGGAAGTTATGAGAAATTTTAGATTGACTTCATAAGCCTGAAAACAGGTACCTTCTAAAATTTTGGTTTTCCTTAAATTAGCTTTCAATTTTAGGAGGAGGAAATATTGCTCTTCTATTTTACTGTGGACACTGGCTCATGTTCAGTTCAAGCCTTCTGCCTGTTACCAGAGAAGCATAAGAATATTTTTAAAGGTATTGCCTTTCTGCATACAATTAAGAGACAAACCACTGCCCTATCACTTGGCAAAATAACATCCTCCCTTCCCGTCAATTAAATGTCTATTTACCTTTTGATAGCACCTTACTGGTTTATACTACAATACCTGATTTGACATGCACCATTACAGGGTCATAGATTTTGGAACTGGTAGCTGAACTTCACCAGCCATCTCTCCAATCCCCTCATTCTACAGATGAACAAAATGAAGCCCAGAGAAACTACGTAAGGGCCTTGCCTCAGGTGACATGGGTTGTGGTAAAAGGCCACTGAGGTAAATGAAAAGGGGGAAGGGGAAATGGATGGAGTACTCAAAGCAAGTAGTCCCCATCAGGTGGGGGATACTGCAAGTGAATGAAAGGAAGGGCCACTGAAGTAAATGAAATGGAGAAAAGGGAAGACGATAGGAAATGTTGGGCTCAAGGCAGGTAGACCTTATCAGCAGGGCACACTGGAGGTGAATGAAGTCAGGAAAGGAGCAAGAGGTTGAAGCAAGGGGCAGAGGGGGTGGAAGATGACTAAGGGGCCAAATCTGAGAGCAGATTGAAAGAAGGTTAAGGACTACACTGAAATCAGGCCAAGAGGCATTTGAACAGATTATAATGGCAGAAGCAGACAGATTTAGTGGCATGGGCTTGCATACTTAGAAAATTGTCTGCAAGTATTATATGGGTTTCTGTCACTGGGGTATAATACCTGCTCTACCTATCTCACAGAGATCACAGATGTGAAAGCACTTTGAAAAGTAAAAAGCACATAAAATGCAAGGCATTAGAAAAATATAATGAAATGCTTTATAAAAATAAGTCTCAAATAATGACCTCTGGTTAGCTAAATATTAAATCAATCTCTTCCATTTAGCAAAATAATTACAATATTAAACTCTATAAATAGAAGCCATGAGAATAATCCTTCATTTGTACAGGTTATCATGGATTTAGATGTCTCATTAAAATTATATCTCCCACTGTTGCATTATAGTTTAAAGCCAAATTGTTGTCCAATTATAAACTTCCAGGGTTTTAGTCTATTGTGTTTTTCATTGTCTTCAAGTTAAAATTTCAGCATTTAAGCTAAAATTCAAAATGTTTCCTTCTTAGTAAAGTGCTTTACTTAAAAAGTTATTTTTATTCTTAACTTAAACACTAAAGTGGGAACACCCACATATATACAGTAGAAACAGTGTGTGCACACGTTTGAGAAATTGCTCTTACAACTTTCATAGTATATATTCTGGTTAATGCTATTGTAGCTAAGTGAAAGTAGATGATAAAATACAGAAAAAATCATTCGGGGACACTAAAAATCTCGTACACCTTGCTTTATATGTCTGTAAATGACCTAGAAACATAATAACTGGAATGAGGGCCTTGGGAGTCAGAAGGGCCTGAATTAGTCCTACTTCATGTATGTACCAGCCATGTGATGAAAGACAAGTAATTTAACTGTTCTCAGCTTCAATTTTCTCACCTGGAAAACAAGGATAAGCACATCCAGATTACCTATTTCACAGGGTTACTGTGTGTGTGTATACAGCATTTTGCAAACCTTGAGGTATGACATAGAAAGGTCAGCTACTACTATTATGGGCAAGTTGATTTGCTTTCTTCAAAATGGTAATGAAGACAACCAAAAAAAGTATTATCTCTATACTTCAGTAAAATATTTAAGATGTCTAAAAATATTTTATGAACATGATTTACTCTTAGCGTTTTTTTGTGGAGAAAAATAGGGCAGTAGGATCATAGACCCGGAGCTGGAAGGCATCTCAGAGGTCACTAGTCCAGCCTTCTCATTTTACAGATGAGGAGACTGGGGCCCTGAGAGGTTCAGTGACTTGCCCAAGGCCACAGAGCCAGTAAAAGTGGGATTTCAATCCAGGTCTTTCTAATTTCAAGTCCATCGATTTAGCCATTATTGCAGATAGCCCAAGACTACACTCAGAAATCTTACGATTCCCAATTCTCAAGAATTAGTAATTCTTTAATACTAGAGAACACACTCAAAGAGAAAAGCATTGATGTCTTAACTTTGCTTCAACAGCTGTTCAAAAATATGAAGTCACCTTCATTAAGACCAGTTTGTTCTTGGTCCCAAAGCTTTTCTTAACTAGATTCACAAAGGATTCTTCTGATATGATACATAATTGGGCTACAAGAAATACACTGATTTTCTTTGGAGGGGTATAAGCAAAAAGGGAGGTAACTTGTGACAAGTTTCCAGCTTTAACATTAAACAAATGAAACTTCAGAAACTCAACAGAGCTTTTGTTATATTGTTACCAAATATTACTTCGGTGACATTATGTACACAATGAAGCAAAGTAAATAGGTCTTCCAGGTTTAGAGGCCGGCTCTGTATACACTAAGCCACCCTGCCTCTCAAAAATTACTAACTTATTTGTATCCATGACCTTTTCCTAAATATTGCAAATATGAAAATCACACCACAGAGTTAAGAGCTGAAAGAGTTCTATTCCAACCAATACATACTAGAATGAACCTAATAAATAACATAACGGAGGATGAGAGAAGGGACAATTTGTACAAAGTCCTAGAGCTGGTAAGGGACATAGAGCTTGGCCTTAGGTCAGACTTCAAATCCAGCCCTGATCAGAATTACTCCTCTCACACTAATACTACATAATAAATCTTAAGATCTATGATGGATTTTGGAGAGCTATAAAAAATAAGCCTCTTGGCAACACGATAGTTTTGATAATTATTAAAATGGACTTTTAAGTCACTGATAATTAATAACACAATGAAATATTTAAAGCATAACCCAACTCCTGGGATGATTTACAGTCATATGTAGATTTTCCAATGAACAAGTGTAGTCTGTTCCAATGAAAAGGTAGGAAACCAATATTCCTTCTCTATGCCATAATTGTAAGAAATTGTTTTTAGCCATCTTTGATTATGAATTTATACCATTTGAAATCAGGAAGGCACCCTCAGATTAATAAGTTACCAAATCCACTAAAGAGTGGCTCTAATTATCAAAAAACATAAACCACAATCTCCCTACACAATAGTTTACCTAATTAATTTGGTTTTCCTACCTGCTTCCTAACAAATCTTATTTTTAAAAGAATTACCATCCTTGCCATCCCCCCGAAAAAGAAATTCTAGTTTTTATAATAGTATGGGAAAAGCAGTGAACTTTAGTGTAATTCCCACCAGGTAATATGTTCATAGTAAATTCTATTTATTCTTTAAGCAGTTCCAACTTCTCCATCTCCATTTGATTTCAAAGAATGCCAGAGTTGGAAGGGATCTCAGAGACTTTAGGGAATACTAACTTTTTCAAAGCACGATTATTTTTAACACCAAAAAAAATTGTAGAATACACTAAATACTCTAAATGCTAGTGGCGTTCAATTGGGATCAAAATGGTAATGCCTGGTGTGCATTACGTGCGACAGCTCCAAGACCCACTGATCATCAACCTCTCCGTTTTGGCACTGATTGCCATATGCAACATCCAGAATGAATGGTCATTCAGCCTTACTAACTGAGGTGGAGCTCACAACCTCCTATTCTGAACAGTTCTCATTTTCAAAACGTGTTGGATCTTAGAGCGTAGGGCGGAATGTTAGAAAGACCACACTCCACCGAGAGTCAGGAGGGCTCTATCACTTACTAGGCATAGTACCCTAAGCAAGTCATTTCACCTGGAAAGCCTGCTCTGCCTTCCTGAGCTTGAACTAGGCGAACAGTTAGTTCCAACGACTTTCTGGCTTCTCCCGTGCTTCTCTTTGCCCTAGTCGTTTCTCGTTTTTGTTACCATATGAGGTGGCCGGAGGGGAAGAGCCAGCTGGGTTCGAGTCCTGGATCCGCCGCCCTCTGGCCTCGTTACTCAGCTCCTTGGTGCTAAGACCCTACCTTACTGGCCAGCAGGCGCCGACCTTTGGCACGCAGTAAGCCTCAAACCATTGTTAATCATTGTAACACGCTAACTGCAGCGTTATTAGTAAATGCTGGGGCTCTGGCAGAGCGAGGCTCCTCACCGAAGCGAGCTCAGCTCCAGCCCCAATCCGCCGTTATGTGGAGAGCGTAATGAGTTTTCTTTTAAAAGCACCATTAAAGCCACTATTAAAGGCTCGTTACAGGAGGCTCTCCGCTCCTCCGGCTCCCACTGCGGGGAGCAGCCGCCGCGAGCCCGGGGTGGCCCCCCCCGGCCCCCCGCCGCGGCTTACCAAGGTGAGGGCCACCTCCAGCATGGGGGCCAGCGCCAGGGTGCCGTGGAAGAGGGGGATGCAGTCCACGAAGAGGGTCTGGTGCGGGTTCGCGCCGCCGTGCGACGGCTGCTCCTTGCGGGGCTTCTGCTTCTCGGCCACCAAGAGCCCGTTGACGGCGCAGTGGGGGTACTTGGCCCCGTGCAGCACCATCTTGCAGTAGGCCTGGGTGGTCAGCTTCACGCCGGGCATGGTGAGGCCCGGGCCCGAGGCCCGCGACGACGGCGGCCGGGCAGCCTCCCAGGCCCGGCGCGGCTCGGCCCCCACGGCGTCGCTCGGCTCCGGCCCCGCGGCCCCTCAGCATAGACGGACGGGTTCCGCGGCCCGGCCCGGCCCCCGAGGCGCCCCGCCGCCCCCTCTTGTGTGCCGGGCTCCGCCGGACCGCGGGCCGTCGGCCGCCGTCTGGGTATCCAGAAGCTCCCGGCGCCCGCAGCCCGCCCCGGAGGCCGAACAGCTGCCTCGCTTCTCTCAGGGGGCCTGCCGCAAAACGGCGCCTGTCGTAAAGCTGCCCCGCGGCGGCTCTTCACGACGGCGAGCGCCCGCTCCGGCCTCCAGGCCGTCAGGTGGGGCGGTGGGCGGGGCCTCGCGCGCTCGGGTCCTCCAGTATCCCTAGAGCCCGCGCGGCGTCCCGGCCTCCCTCTTCCGGTGTCGGGCTGCCGCAGTGTGGAGGGCGGCAGTGAGAGGCGGCGGCGGCTTCGGCGGCAGGGGAAGGTGAGGCTGCGGCGGCGGCTCGGGCGGGCCCCGCCGCTCTTCGGGGCTCTCCGCCGCGTCCGGGCGCGGGGCTCGGCCAGCCCTGGGGGGCGGGACGCCCCAGACCCTTCCTGGCCAAGGGTGACATTGAGCACCGGCGAGCCTGCGGGGACCAGGCCCCGGGGAGGCGGCGCGGCCTGGCCCCGGAGATAACCTTGAGGCCGGGGTCTGGGTTCGGAGCGAAGCCGAGGCCCGCCGAAGGGGCCGAGGCCGGGGGCGCGGGTGGCCGCCCGCCGCTGGTCATCCGAGTGACCTTGGGCGGGGGGTGGGGAGGGGGAGGCGCCGCAGCGGTCGGAATTGACTTTGTTCTTTTCGCCTCCCACACGGGGAGAGGGGCGGGAGGGGCCTTGGGACCCAAAGCAGAATGACATTGAATTTGTAGCGGAGGAACCCAGGGTCCAGGTTCGAGTTCCGCCATTGCCCTGCTCGATGTAGCAGTGAGTGACCTTGGGCAAGTGATTGATCCTCTTTGGGTCTTGGTTTCCTCCCTTGGCTGATAGAAGGCTACTGCTGATAATCTCACTGTAATTCTGTGTGCCAGGTTCAGACTTTATGTCACTCCTATGTGCCCATGGGCAAGTCACTACTTATCTCTCTTCTCATTTGTTTTTGGGGAGACACTTTACCTCTTTACCCCCAGGAAAAGCTGTTTGCAGCCTCTCAACTGCCCTAGGCCTGTTATTTCTTCATCTTCCTTCTTTCTCTCCCCAATCTGAGGCAGTCCCCCATCTCCCCCCCACCCAACCTGTTAGGCTGCTTGGTCCTAGATAGAGGGTTAAGGGAGATGGGGGGAGGGGAGAAGAAAGGAACCCAGACCTCAGAACCCTGTTACTTCATCTAAATAGGAGACTCTTCCAGGTGTGATCTTAGTACTGAGGCTACAGCCTGTCAGAAAGGGAGGATGGGGTGCCGACAGTTGTCTAGTAAATTGAAAGGGCTGCGTCAAATCCTGATTAGGCCGTTGGATTTATGACCTTGGGCAAATAACTTCACATCTGGGCTTCAGTTTGCTGGTCTGTAAAATGAGGAAGTCTTACTAGACCGATTCAAGGATTTTTTTTTTAATTAAATTTTATGATCCTAGACTTTTAGCCTGCTTTAACTAGTGGATCGTTTTTTCTTTATTTAATAATTTAGAGATAATAGGATTTATAGCTTCAAGGGGACCATAGAGATCATCTAGCCCGACCCCTCATTTTACAGATGTGGAAACTTCTGCCCAGCCAGAGTAAAATGACTTGCCCAAGGTCATTAAGTATTTAGGAGTAAAGGTGAGGTCCAAACCTCGCTAGGTATCTTGACTCCAAATTCAGATCTTCTACTGTAGCAGGTAGTCTCATAGGAAATACATTTCAACTGTTTGAATTTGTTTTGACACTTTCTCAATTAAGAATGTGACTACCATAGCCTTTTTATGCCTCCTTACACTTAGAGATCTAATCTCCCAAAATATTTATTTCCGTACTCCTTGGATATCAACTTGATCTAGCATTATTGATGAAAGTGAACATAAGGAAATGGCATCAACTCTCCCAAAATATGTGAGGAAAAAGAGTAGTATTGTTACTAATAAACAAATGGTTTCAACTTCTTTGGAACAGAAATTTTGCATTCTTTTTTTTTTTTTAACAGAATGTTGGCTACCAGGGTGTTTGGCCTTGTTGGCAGACGGGCTCTTTCCACCTCTGCATGTGTTCGATCACATGGTATGTTCATTTATCTTTCTTTTTGAACTCTTTGCATAAATTTCAGGAAAATGTTGTGAGGTAACCATTGGTTCTGAATGTGAATTCAGCATCTACTCTCTTGCTCTCCCAGTTCCCTGCCCTTCAGCCTCTCTTCAAGTCCTGTGCATCTTAAATCCGATGGGCCTCCACAGAAAGCCTTTTTTTGGGAAGCCTCAGATTGCTCTGAAATCAATGAGGAAGCTTTTATTCAGATTGTTAGTAGGTGTTAGGGTTACCAAAACTTAAATGTGCCTGCTCTCCAAAAGGTTGCTATTGGGGAAGACTACGTGTACACTTATTAGTTGTTATAAAACAAATGCAAAGTAATTTGGAGAGGAGGCACTAATAGTGGAAGGACTCAAGAAAAAGGATTCAAGTAAGGGGCGGCACTTGAGCTGAATTGACTAGGAAACAAGGGATTTTGAGCTGGAGGAAAGGAGCAAGTTCATTTGAGGTATGTGACAGGAGATAACATCGTTATCTGTGAGCAACAGAAAGGAGGCCAGTTTTGCTGGATTGAAGAGTGAAGGAAGGAAAGTAGTGTCAAATACAACAATTGAAAACGTATGTTTGACCCGCCTTATAAAGGCTGTTTTTAAGTTTTATTTTTAATTTTATTATGTCAGGGAGACTTGATTTTTTTTTTTATTTTTAAAAATTTTTTTCTTTTTTTTTTACAGTTCTAAGTTCTCTCCCCTCCCTCTCCCCTTCCCCACCAATGAGAAGGCAAGAAAAGCAAAAACTATTACAAATATGTATAGTCATGCTAATTGCATTTCTCCATTAATTATGTTCTCCCTCTCCACTGTACCCCATCCCCAAAAAGAAAGAAAGAAAGAAAAGTATGTTTTAATCTGTATTCATTGTCCATCAATTCTCTGTTTGGAGGTGGATAGCATGTTTCATCATGAGTTCTTTGGAATTGTGTTGGGTCATTGGATTGATCAAAGTTACTAAGTCTTTCAAAGTTGAATATCTTTACAATAGTGTTGTTACTGTGTAGACTGTTCTCCTGGTTCAGTTCATACAGGTGTTCCCAGGTTCTTCTGAAACTATCCCCTTTATATGAGAGATTTTAAATGCCAAATAGGAGTTTGTATTTGACCCTAGAAGTAATTGAGAACCAGTGAAGTTTGTTTAACAGGGGAGTGAAAGAAGCAGGTAGGGAACATGCAGCACTTTGTTGGATGGGGTAGACCTAGCCTATCCCACCAGTAAAGCCTTTAACGCCATAAACGCCCATAGTGGAGCTTAAATAGGAGGCTTCTACTAAAATAGAGGATCATAGGACTTAAAGCTGGAAAAGTGACCCTGGGAGCCATCTAGTTCTGGTGTCTGCCAACTACTTGAGCTAAGAATGGTTTTAATGTTTTTAAATACTGCAAAATGTTATTTACAAATGTAAAGAAAGTTTGCTAGAGAGCCTCTGGCTGTCATTTAGGGTCCAAACTCTTTAAACCCAAATTACTCTGGCTTTCACTAATTGACCAATAACAGGTCTCAGCCCAAGCCTCACTTGGTCATTGTTTGGGTTTTGGTGACTGTGAGTGTAAATAGCAGTTGTTTCAGTTCTGGCCAGAAACCCTGAGGGTCTTCCCCTCCCAGATTGATTTTTTTGAGAAGGCAAACTAGGCTATCTTTTGCCTTACTTCTTACCTAGTCTTTGATCACTGAATGGGCTTACCTCAGACAAACTGACTTAGCTTAAAAAAGCCAAGGTTTCCCACTGCATCAGGGGCCATCTTCAGTTGTCCTGACCTATGTCTTGCCACTGGACTCTGATGACTCTGGAGGAGAGAGTGGGGCTGATGACTTTGCACAGCTCTGCCTCACTTAAATCCAGTTCACTTACAAGTCAAGACGTCACCCTCCTGATGTTATTGGATCTCTTCCAGAAAGAAGAACAAACAACAACTGATGCCAAATTTGATATTATTTCTACTACCTGTCTCCCTCATGAACCCCTGGTTATAGGACATAGCATTATAATCCAACTCCATTGTGAGTCAGATAGGCTTTAGTGAGTTAGCCTGAAAACTTAGCTGCAGTTTATGTAAGAAGTCGGGCAGCTACTTGGGCAGTGGATACAGTGCTGGGCCTGGAGGCCAGAAGACCTGAGTTCAAATCTGGCCTCAGACACTTAATAGCTGTGTGACCCTGGGCAAGTCACTTCACGCTTTTTGCCTTAGTTTCCTCATCTGTAAAATAAGCTGGAGAAGGAAATGGCAAGCCACTCCAGTATCTTTGCCAAGAAAACCCCAAATGGGATCACAAAGAGTCAGACGTGACAGAAATGACTGAGCAGCAAATATGTGTAATATATAATGAATTCACACAACTAACTTGTAAATGTACATTTTGAACACAATCCTCTTCTAAATTAAGGAGTCTCAAAATAGCCAAAGGAATGTGGGAAAGATTGAATGGAAACATATCCAGTGACTGAAATATCTTCTTTTCTCTTTATCAGTATTAGTTTTATTCTAAAATGTGTGGAGTTTTCTAGTTAGATTTCCTTTACTTATTTTTTTCCCTTTCTCCTGCCTCTATTAATAAGCAGGTGTTGTGAAGACTGAAGATTATAGTCTTCCAAGTTATGTTGATCGTCGTGATTACCCCCTCCCGGATGTGGCTCATGTCAGGACCCTTTCTTCCAGCCAGAAGGCCTTAAAAGAGAAGGAAAAGCAGCCATGGAGTAAATTGTCTTCTGAAGAGAAAGTCCAGTGTGGGTATTTAATCAGTCAATAAACATTTATTAAGCCCCTTTTCTGTGCCAGACACTGTAAGCACTGGGGATGCAGTCCCTGTCCTCAGGGAGTTCATAATCTAATGGGGGAGACAGTGAGCAAACAAATGTGTTCAAACAAGCTGTGTAGATGGTAAATAGGAAGTAGTCAGCAGAGGGAAGGCACTAGAATTAAGAGGGATAGGGAAAAGCTTCCTGTAGAAAGTTAGTCAGGGATTTAAGCTGTGACTTGAAGGAAGCCAGAAGGTAGAGATGAGCAGAGAGAACAGGTGTGGGGGACAGCCAGAGAAAATGCTCTGAGTCATGAAATGGAGCATCTTGTTTGAGCACCAGCCAGGAGGCTGGCCAGTGTCCTTGGATCATAGAGTTCTGTGGGGCATAAGAAGACTGGGGTGGGGGTGGGGTGTAACATGAGCTCTATGGTCAACTCATATGGGCCATTGTTACTTTTATTGTTTTACATTAACGCCTCTTGTCTCTTAACTGCTTTGTGGTCTTCATAGTGCCATTTCTGGCACGTCACCAGAATAGAAGGAGCTTCCTGGTTCGTGAATGACCTTATAAACCAAAGTAACATATCATCTGCCCTAGGAAAGGTAGGATAGGCGACAGGTTTATAGAGAAAGAAGCTCTGTGCAATGCCTAGGAAGAGATACTGATGATCCCTCATCATCCCTATCCTTATTCCACTCCTCCCACTATTCTGGGAATTTAGATAATGTCTAGTTCCTACTAGGTATGGATCAGTTCTTTGTATTTTAGATAAGCACAGTGTGAGAAATGTGGTAATGCAGAAGTGCATTTCAGAGACCTCCAAAATATATCACCATTCTCCTCAATATCGATAATTGAAGATTGATTATAAAGGGATGAGGGAGAAATAGTTGAGATGATTTAATGCTTTTTCAAGTTCTTAAAGCCTTGTAGCCTGGATGGATTAGCTTTAAGTACTGCTCCCTCCATAATTTCTTAATGTGGAAATTTGCTGCCCTTTCACCTTTTCTATACTGGAGGGCACACTTTTTCAGTTTAAGTATTTTAAGGAAGTATAAATCATTTTAGCTGTAGCTGCTAGTTTGATGTGTTCTACCATTTTTTTTTCCCAGAAGGAGGGGCTGTCTTCCAACCCCCCCTTTTTCTTCCCCCCCTTACTAATTTTATAGACTTAGAATTGGTCACCTATTCTCGTTATACAAGCAAAATTTTGCAAATATTAGACTTTGAGGATCCATTTTTTTCATTGGTGAGAGTATACCCTTCATAAAGCATATCAAAACCCTTCTAAGAAATGTAGAAGGTCTTTTTGAGTTCTTATTGCTGAAAAATTCACTCTGTAGGCAGCCTGTTGATGTCTGTCTTAAGCTGAGCTAGTCCTCAGCTTGAGATGAGCTATGACAGTTTATTCTCTGTTGGCAAAACCTTTGAAAACCCTGATTCACTTCTCTGCCAGAAAGCAGTATTGAAGTTGGACTTGGTGGAGAATGATTGTAGCAGCCCCCTTTTGATAGTGCTTTAGTAGATAGAGTGCTAGCTTCAAAAACTTTGTGAGATCAGTTATATAAGTAATATAGCCATTTGACAGATGAAGAAACTGAGCCTTGGGTCATGAAACAGATAAATATTGGAGGTGGAACTCAAACACAGATCTTCATGTGTGTCATGTGTTTAGAAGAGTGCTTTGTGTCCCCCAGCTGGGATTCAGCTGCCACGACTGTGTATTCTGACTCTGGCCCTGCTGTTCACAGGGGGGGACATTGAGAATAAGTAAGCACGTTGGGAACAACATGTGGCCAAAGAACATGGGTGGACTCGTGGGCTGTACAGGCAGTTGTGATTTGTCATCAACTATGGTGTCCAGGATGCACAGGTATCATGCAGGACCTGGAGGAATTTGGTGTGTTAAAAAGATGCACTTTGGTGGCAGAGCAGGGCTTGAGGCATTGGATGTGGTTCACTATTGCCAAAATATAGTGCAGCCTGCTCTCTTATTTGATTCTGGGCCTACTTCTATAATTTAAAAATAAATCCATTTGTTTTTTAATAGAGTCCTAGAGTCTTTAAAAAAATACTTTTCTTTCTCTTTAGTGTATCATATCAAATTCAATGAGACCTTTGCTAAAATGAACCAGTCCTCAAATGAATGGAAGACTGTTGTTGGGGCTGCAATGTTCTTCATTGGCTTTAGCGGTTTAATTATCATCTGGGAGAAGCGCTATGGTGAGTAAGGAGAGGAGAAGCTTTGTTCTGGGCATCGTTGGTGTAGAGTAGAGGTGTCACATTTGCTGCCTAAAATGTAATTAGGAGATGTTTTAAAAAACAGACATACGACACCGGTGATGTTAGTTTGTGGTTTTCTAAGTCAGTACGTGGCCAGAGGGGTCCTCCCTCAAGTTTGACACCAAGGCCCTGGAATACTCTTAGAGATGGAAACCAATTCTTAACTGCAGGAAAATCTAATAGCTTCCATGTACGTGGCACTTTGCAGTTATATAAAGCACTTGCATATACTTTATCACACTTTTTTCTTCACAGCCTCTCATGGTAGTTAGACCAGGTATCATAATATCCATCTTACGGAGGAGGAATCTGAGCTTTATAGTGAGTGGCAGAGCTGGGGCTTGAATTTTGGTTTCCTGAATTCAAATTGACTGTTTTTTCCATTATGCCGTGCTGGTGCTGCTGCTGTTGCTGCTTCTTGCTGAAGAAGTTACGTTGTTGATAGGGAATCTGAGGTTGTAAATGATCCTTTTGCCCAGGATGGGATAAGTCCTCCTGAAATCTAGGTGACATTTATAAAGTACTTTAAGTATTTGCACAGTGCTTTGTGTAAATTCTCAGCGTCCTCTAGAAAGGTGTTCTGTCAAGTCAAATGCTGTGTTCCCTAAAGAGTGTGACCCTCTTTTTGGACCATATTGGAACCCTCCTGACAAATTCCTTTCTCTGTGGACTATGCTGAGTGGGCTGTATGTGTTACTGCCAGTGCTAACTTTGCTCTTTCGTGGCTGGGCTTGAGTTAATACAAGTCCGATACAGTTCCTAATAGTTATATGTGATTTACTTTTCATCTACATTATGGTATCACTCCTTTGAGCCTGTTGAGAGATCGATGCTCTTTAATTTTTTTTTTTTCAACTCTACAGCTCTCTCATTGCAAAGTTTTTGTGGAAATGAGAATCAAAAGTAAAAATAAACCCAACCTATCTGTCCTTGTCTTTAGTGGGCAAAGCCAGTATGGATGAGTGAAATGCCACTTAAGTGACAGGATACTCTGAGTACTGGCTGCGTATTGCCCTGTGGGAATAGTAATTTAAATTCATTATCAAAAGATTTCTTTCTCAAACCATGTTTCTTTTGTCAGAATGGAAAAGTGAAGTCAGTCTTTTCTGTTGAAAATTCTCTTTAATTTACAGTTTATGGTCCTCTCCCGCACACCTTTTCTGAAGAGTGGGTGGCCATGCAGACCCAGAGGATGCTGGACATGAAAGTTGGTCCCATCCAGGGGTTCTCTGCTAAGTGGGACTATGACAAGAAAGAGTGGAAGAAATAGAAGAAATCGGGGATCATGCCTCCTGTTTATTTGAGCCTATTGTTCCTTCATGTATGTGCAACCCTCAGCATATTTACTGGAACGTTCTGTGAGAAACATTAACCATGAAAATAAACAACTGACTTACTTGAAGATGTGGTGTGATCATTTGAAAATAGCTGATACTCTGTCCATTTAAACACTGTGTATGTATCTTTAGTGAATAGAAAAATCAAATGCAAAAACTTTGAAGCTTGCTAAGCTAAATAAATAGTAAATGTTTATATAATTAAATGTTAATTTGAAGTATTTTTAACAATAGACTTTCTGTTTTTTTTTTTTTTTAAATGAAATGTTTTAATCTGGAACCAAAACCTCAAAAATAATTTCATTTTGTATGCATGTCCAATTTATTAGAAGATATCTAATTTTTTTTTGCAGAAAGTAATGCATTCAAAGTGATAGAACATAAACTGTCAGAGCTAGAAAGGTTCTTTGAAGTCATCTAGTCTAACTGCAAAAATAAATGAGGAAAAAGGCCCAAAAAAGGGCAAGTGGCTTAAGTGCCTTAGGTCATAATGGCAGGGTCAAATCTGGAATTATGTTTGAGGCCTAGTTTGAGGCCTAGTTTGATGCATCAGGCTAACTTCACTGGATCTCTGAATGTACTCCTTGCAGTTCGATTATGGCAACCGAAGACAAATTCTCCTTTTCCCCAGCCTTTTGTGTGTAAGACTTGAATGAATAAGGGAAGTCAATATTGAATAGTAGGTAACAGCCCTACCTAATTGAACTCTCATCATCTTACCTCAACAGTAAGTTCTTATTATTTAAATAATTGGCAAAGGGTTTTTTAAAAATTAATTTATTTTGATTTATCAACAACCACTTCCATAAGCTTTTGAGTTTTAAATTTTTCTCCCCCTCCCTCCATACCTCCTTCCCCAAGATGGTGTACAATCTGATATAGGCTATACATATACATTCCTATTAAACATTTTCACATTAGTCATGTTGTAAGGAAGAATTAGAACCAATAGAGGAACCACCACAAAGAGGAAACAAAGTACAACAGTAGAAGAAAAAAAACAGTATTCTTCAGTCTGCATTCAAAGTCCATAGTTCTTTATTTGGATGTGGATAGCATTTTCCATCATGAGGCCTTTGGAGATGTCTTGGATCCTTGTATTGCTGAGAAGGGTTAAGTCTATCAGTATTAGTCATTGCAGAACGTGGCTTTTACTGTGTACAACATTCTCCTGGTTCTGCTCATTTCACAGCATCAGACCATACAAGTCTTTCCAGGTTTTTCTGAAGTCTGCCTGTTCATCATTTCTTATAGCACAATAGTATTCCTTTACATTCATTTACCACAACTTGTTCAGCCATTCCCCAGTTGATGGGCATCCCCTCAATTTCCAATTCTTTGCCACCACGAAAAGAACTGCTATAAATGTTTTTGTACATGTGGGTCCTTTTCCCATTTGTATGATCTCTTTGGGACACAGCCCTAGAAGTGCTATTGCTGGGTCAAAGAGTATGCACATTTTATAACCCTTTGGGCATAGTTCTAAATTGCACTCCAAAATGGTTGGATCATTTTGCGACTCCAACAATTTATTAAGTTTTATAATTTTTCCACATCTCCAACATTTATCATTTTCCTGTTTTGTCATATTGGCCAATCTGATAGATGTGGTACCTCAGAGTTGTTTTAATTTGCATTTCTCTAATCAATAGTGATTTAGAGCATTTTTTCATATGACTATAGATGGCTTTAATTTCATCTGAGAACTGCTTGTTCATATCTTTTGACCATTTATCAATTGGGGAATGACTTGTATTATAAATGTGACTTAATTCTCTTTATATTTTAGAAATGAGGCCCTTATCAGAGAGACTGGTTGTAAAAATTCCCAATTTTCTACTTTCCTTCTAATCTTGGTTGCATTGGGGCAAAGGGTTTTTTGAGAGTTTTGGTTAGTTTGTTGCTATTTGAGGTGGGATCATGACCATGAAGTGGAGAGAAAATTGTTAATTCAATTCTCCCCTTTTAATGCAATAGTCTCCAAACTTGATGTTTGCAGGGCAGTTAATTGAGAAACATACAAATATTACTGTGTAAATTTATCATCCAAAGCTTTAACTTATGAAATGTCACCTTTCTGGATCAAGAGTATGAATTTAAGCAGCTTGCTCTCTTAAAAAGCTCCCCTAAAGAAGCAAATTTCAGTAGAAAATTGTTACAAAATGAATTTTTCATCTTTATTATTACTAAAAAATTTGGCAATTTCTTTTTTCAGCTTATTCTTTGAAGTACTTTGCTGTCAGAAAGGCAGCATATTTTGCCATGATATGAAAGAGACCTATGTTCTAACCTCTCACAATTTTGCAGTAGTTTGCTTTTAGTGAACTTTCAAGATAAATAAAGTTGATTGTTTCTTTTTAAAATAAGTTTTTTTTTATTGTGAACTTAACAGTCACCAACAGACATTTCAATATGGAAAGAATTGTGTAAGAAGCTGAACTTCAGTTACGTAATACACTTGTTTAAGAAGAAATGTGTGTTAAATTTTATGATGTAATAATAGCATTGCTCGACATGCACCAAGTTGAAACACTGTCTCCACTTGTATTTTTTGATAGATGTGATTGTGGAACAAGTAATGTGTCAGAACCGCAGAGAGGGCCCCTTTTTCCTCCTCAACATCTTCCTGTACTTTTACAGTGTACCTGGACTCTTTGAGAAAGTTGATGCTGTAGTGAAGAGGCTGTGTGGTGCAGTAGGGAGAGCCCTGGATTTGAGGTCAATCACATCACTTCTCTGGCCTTCCATTTTCTCATCCATAAAATGAAGGGGTTGCACTCTGACCTCTGAGGTCTCTTCTGACCCAATTTCATTTCTGTGATTAATACCATGAAAACAATAGTTACCCCTGGGATGAGACAGAGGCTTGGATTGGGAGGAGGAAATTAAGAAATAAACAGTGAAGAATGCAGATGCAAGCTCATTTACTCAAGTCAATTCCAGCTATGGACAAGCTTTCAAATGAAAGTGAGATGTTTAATGTGTACGTGTAGGTAGCATCCTGATGAGGTATATGAATGTGACCTTGGTTTCATAGATTTGAGACCCAAAAGAGGGGGACATCCCTTGAATTACCTTAACTACTTAACCATTTTAGATGTTTTCTTGTAGAAACTTGGGCTCAGTGAGAATAGTGACAAACAGGCCACCTTTTAAAATTAGCATTCAGACCCTGGTTAGGCCCTGACCTGGATTGGATAGTATGAAGTCTGACTGAATTCTCACGCATTACAGAATTTTCGTTAAAACAAAACACCTACATGAAAGATTTGATGTGGTATTAGAAATAGGCCTGCAGAGGGACAAATCTTCCCTAATATCACTTTTCAGCATCTGTAATCAAATGATCACTTTTATATTTCTGCATCCATTTGCAGAGCAAACTAGGAAGGTTTCAGTTTCTTGGTTGATTTGCAAAGGTTTCATTTCCACAGTATCACTTTTTTTTTTTTTTTTCAGTCAGTTGGGGTTAAGTGACTTGCCCTGGGTCACGTAGCTAGTGTCAAGTGTTTGGTCTGAGGTCGGATTTGAACTCGGGTCCTCCTGACTTCAGGGCCGGTGCTGTATGCACTGAGCCACCTAGCTGCCCCACAGTATCACTACTTTGCACATGATTTGCCAAGCATTGTTTGCGTCATCAATAGCTGTGTGTTATGCCAGAGCTTCTATCAAACTTAGCAAATTCTGTCAGTAACCTTATATGATGCAAATGATCCTTTTTGAAGTCACAGGGTTTTTGAAAAAGTTTATTTTTACTTAAAAGCATCTAGTTCTGGAAAAATCCTTTTGGCAATGTAGTTTGCTTGTTGACTTTCAAGATATTTCAGTTTATCAGATTTCATGCATTGCAGCTAAAGCATTTATATAAAGTGAACGGTGGTCTTTCTCCATTAACAATACCTGTGAATCCCAATAGTATAGGGGATTTTTTTTGACTGGACTTTTAAATTTTATGTTTATGCTAATTATACTGTCTATTGCCTTTGCTTATACTAGTTTTAGCTGCAGCAGTAGACTTAATTCAGACCAATAAAATATTTATTGTGAAGGAACACTTAAGTCCTCATGAATTAGTAGAGAAAATAAAATATTTGAGACATTTGTTGAAACTTTCAAATGATTATAACTATACTTTGTTGTTGTTCAATTGTTTCAGACATATCTAACTCTTTATGACCCCATTTGGCAAAGATACTGGAGTAGTTTGACAATTTTCTTTTCCAGGTCATTTTACAGATGAGGAAACTGAGGCAAACAGTTAAGTCATTTGCCCAGGGTCACACAGCTAGCTAGTTAAGTTTTTAGGTCCAGATTTGGACTCAGTTATTCCCGACTCCAGTCTCCTCACTCTATCCGCTGTTTCACCTAACTGCCCCATAACTATCACTAGGTAATATTAAACATTCAGGCTATTGTTAGGCAATAAATTTAAGATAAATTTATGTTACATTGTTGTAAATTTCAAATGATAGCTTCTTATTTCAATTTTGAATATCTTGAAAATCAGCATATTGTACTTGACCAAAATGAATGACCTCCAGAATTCTAATAGCTAACTTTTAATTAACAGTAACTTTTAATTTCCACACACAGATTGTTTAACTTTGAGTTTACATGCTATATTCAAATGCAACAAGCAACACAGTGACACAATTCTTTTGTCTTGAGCCCATGGTGACTGACATTGGTGCCATTTGCTGCCATTGCCCTGGGCAGATTGAATGTGAGATGCCACTGCCTCACCTCACATTTGGCCTCATTTGCACATTCCTGCTTTGCTGTCTTAGTCTGCATTAGTCTTGTTCAGTTGACTTTGTTTTGAACTTTATTTTCACTAATAAAAGTGACTGGATTTATGCAGGTGGTAGGCTTGAAAATGGTCAACAAGTGAGACTGATGCATTGAGCTCTCCCTGGATGCATGAGCAGGGATCAGGTGGTCCCCACTGTTTGGGAAAACTACCATATTCTAACTAACACAAATACCTGTTGGTGTGTGTGTGTGTGTGTGTGTGTGTGTGTGTGTGTGTCTGTGTGTGTGTGTGTGTATCTGGAGAAAGCCTGGC